AAAAGTTTAAAACTTGTGTCTACGAACATACTAGTTTTTGAATAGAAGAATCCGGTCGCGATTAGTTGTATTCGGCTTGAGTTGATAATTGATTTCGATTTTTTGGCCCCCCCAAGTACGCCCCTCGTATGATGTACGATAGCTTCTGACTGTTATTAAACGCACGAGTGTATATAATAACAATAATTATTAATTTGACTATAGCCAAAGTAAAAACCGTGTTTACAATAACTTTTTGACTGTGATCTTTGTGTTATACAGTAATATTGTGTAAACTTTGAAAGGGTCGGTGGTGGTAAGGTGTGTTACTTATGATTCGTTTACAGTTACCTCACAACCGTTTGTTATTCAACGTTCACATTTGAGGAATACATTTCAGTAATTTCATATTTTCGTTTGAAATATGTGCTTTTTATACATACACTACGATAATGATGGGTAAATAACTTTTATCATAAAAAAACATCCATGCCGTTGACCAACTTGTATCTCGTGTACATTACCTTATAAATGTGTCTATTAATCTATTGATTAGTTTTGCTGGTACATTTTGTCGCATAGCAATAAGAAATTAGCGACTAGTTAGTTGGTTATTATTATTTTATTAATAAGTGTAAATCATATTAGCATAGGACACGATGAGAGTTCATTTAAAATAATATTATAAATTCCCACAGTGGTTTATTTTGTCGTTTCTTCCGCGAACCGAAAGAACCGGTTGTGTTCTTCTGTGTTGGCCATTAAGCCATAATAGAATGCGAAAAGTTCTCGAGTCCTTTTTTTTTTTTTGCTGTTACGGCCTCGCAGCCGGCCAATTCCGCCCGTACTTTAGAATTTTTTCCTATGCGTTTAACACTTTACCCGATGCCCGAGACGGCGGTTAGTACGCCCCCAGCATTAGGTCACCGATGCGGTCCGTCCGAGCTCACGCATAGAACAGAATGAATACGGCGCGTACTCTCAGCTAATCTTTTGTACAAGTCTTGGGTATAAATAATAACCGTGTACACAATGTTCATTACAAATAAATTACCATAAAAGAGTGAACGCGGCGCTAACAATTAATTTTTTGTTTTATTCTATTTTTCCACGTCCCCTAAGCCGCCCGTTATTATTGTTCTAAATACATGCTCTAAGACGGGTAATGACCGCTGCCTGCGTTTTGTATTCACTAGACGAAAACTAATTAACTGGCGCGCACAGATTTGTTACCGTAAAATAAATTTCTAGAAACATTTCTTTAAGGTGTCGCCGTAAGGGTACTTGCTTTACAAGCTCGCGCAGTTGTGTTAATTTCAATTTACAGTCAATTATTGACACTAATTATTGACCACGGGTGTTTTTTACCGTTGTTCTCAGGCTACTGGTTTGCATATTACATGGTATTGGTATTTGATGTTAATCATTTAGAATATGAACAGCTCAGAAATTTGACCAGTAGTTTCATGTTTTTTTTTATTATTGTACACTCAAAATAGTTGTTCACTTTTCAAACGACCGTTTTCTATTATCTTTGGCATGTCCACTCTAAAACGAAAAGGTGTTCTAGTGCGCACATTTGACTCGACATGACTACCGTTCTCCGTGATTAATATTTGTTTTACTTTTGGTTTTTAAATGGTTCTATCGCACGAGCACTGCCACACTCTCCATTGACAGCTGGCCAAGTGATTCGCCTAACCACAACTACCACTTACCGTGGCATTATCGCCGACAATAATCAAAAGCGAACTGGTTTACTAGAATATATGTAACGAGATCTCGTCGGAGCTCGTGAGATTCATAATTCATAAACGTATCTGCGCACGGGTCTGTAATCTGTAAAATTTATCAAAAATTTAAATTATAAAAAAATATAACGACACGTCGACCGTAATGTGTGGTCTGTATAGATAAAAAAAAATTTCTAATGTTACGTTACTAGGGAAAAAAAATTCTCTATCCGACCGGTGTACTATTACTAGTTGCTAATAGAGAAAAAAATACAGCGCGCAAATCTGTCATACTCAAGTCGCATCCCTCCTTAGTAAGACACGTATTTTTCCTACAGCGCTTTAAGTAAAACAACGGTAGTTGAATATTTTTTCTCTATCGTTAAGTCATTTTATTTTATATGTGTTATGCCTATAATATGATCAATTCATCAAAAGACTAGCTGGTGGTGCTTCTGTGGCGGCGTCGTTTAAAACCGGTCCGTTTGATTCGTATACATGTAATGTATAATTTGTCTAATGTACAATAATTATTATTGTTAGTAACCCGACGTCGGCCGGACCAGAATGCATTTAAGAGGATGTGCGCGGGACCTCATACCATTACATTGTGTTATTTTTGAGTAGTTCACTCTAAAAGGGTATACGCATTTTTTTTTTTTTTCTACTCTTGGCGACCATCGGACAGAATATACATGTAATATTTTTATATTACTATGTAGAAGTCGTTTCGGCACGACTGATGTGTGTGCACTTTTCGAATCACATGCCTCTCTACTTTGCCTCTTTGCAGCGATATTTGCCATAAATCTTTGCCCGGTCAACTCGATGGGACATAAAACTACCGATGTACTATTATGTTATAGGAACCGCGCGGGTAATGTTTTATTATCTTTTTAGTTTTACAGACTTATTCGTGTTAATCGTTCGAATCATCTTCTACGGCGTCTTCAGATAACGACACCATGTACCGTACTAAATCCTCAATATATTTGTATATTACAAGAGTTGAAGACTAAAATGACCCGTCTTATACTAAATGACCTCTTTAATTTTGATGGATCGCAACGTAATAAAGCTTTTACTACAGCTGCGTGTATATATTATGATAATCGCTTAATCACCGGCCAAACGCATATATTTTCTATGTTCAATTAAAAGTAAAAAAGATGAATCTTTAGCCGCCATTTTTTCGTGTGTGTAGTTCATTATGGAAAAAAAAAAAATTATTGAACAGACTCCTCGGCCTAGGTGTGTCCGAATAATATTTTAACGGCACAATTCGCTCTTATACGGCCTTCATAAAAAAAGTACATTTTCATTAATTAACGACAACATAGAGAGCGGTACGTGGCTGCGCACCTGTGTGTGTGTACACTTAATTTAAGCATCTGCGGTTACTCCTTAATTCTGTCGTCGAAAATCCAAGTAGCGCCGATATTATTCTCATGTGGGTTACTAAATAAGCACCAAAGTCTGAACCGATTTTATAAATTATTGGACCGACAAAGAGCTCGACGGATACGATCAAAAAAGACTTGCAGTATTCGGTAGTAGAAAAATAATACTTCTCCATATAATGCAAAAATGATGGATTGTTTGACATTAGTATTATGAAGAGCTCTGTTATATCGAATTGTATTTCTTGTAAAATCCAATTGTGAATTTGCATATTAAACTATTTAAATTTGTTCAACATTATATTTATCAATTTCCTAATAGATCAACAACACTAAGTCTCGGCCATTAGTTTTGCCCGTTTAACAGTGTTCCCAGCGAATGGAATGCGATTTCGATCATGTTAGAAAATCGGACGTATTTTAAAAGTATTTCTCGTCCGCTGCTCGTTAAGTGATTTGAACAAACATAATAATTATCGTAAATTTCTTATCGAACGTTTTAGATCAATCAGAAAAACGCGCATGATCCATCAAAGTAAACACGTATCGGGTAGGCGAATTATTTACACTTAATGGTGCAACAATATTATTCGATGGTATTTTAGGTTCAGTGCGGTTAACGAGCACACGACGTATCGTATTATTGTCGTCCTAACAGAACAAATCGACTGCCTACATAATATTTATTGTTAATAATAATATAAGTGAGATAAATGTATAGATGCACTTGATACAAAATAAATACACTCCAGCCGTCGAAAACCGGCAGCGTTCGCGACACATTGTTATTGTTTGACCAACCTCCAAAGTCAATACAGAATATAATATGATATTATTAGCTACTTTCAAAACTCATCAATCATAGCACTCCGATTCCGAACAAACATTTTCCTCCTATTCGTAACGAGTTCTCGGTTTGTTTTTTCAATTCTCATTCTCCCACTAGATTTGCGTTTATTTCGTTTAAAACACACTGGAAAAAAAGCTACTCGCATAGCTCGTGGGCAGATACAAGTGTGCGCGTGCTCGATTAAAAGATATGAAGAAATATGGAAGAAAAAATAAATAGCTCGGTTGGTTTAAGCACCGCAGCGTGAAAGAAGATCTTTCTAGGATAGAGAAAATCGCAAAAGATTTAAACGGATAAACTTTACTTGAAATCTCATTGTTTTGCAAAAAACAAACATGAAATTCGCACGTATTATTTGTTAAAACCTTTTGTCGGCCAAGACATGTATTCTACAACACATGTAACGCCTTTATAGAGTAAAACTCTTATAGCAGTTTTGCTGTTACTTGTACTTTATTGTAATGAAAATTTACTAAAAATAGTCGAATGAATTTTAAAATTTCATTCTGACAATGATATTTTTACCAGCAACATATTGAGACGATTATGCTACCAATGAATGCCGATTTTATGTAAATTTCACAACTAAAACGACAAATTATTTTACATTTTTAACATTTCATAATTAACGTAAACCACACCGGCTATCAAATTATAGTCTATTAACAGATATTACTGTTAGTACGATATTGGCGATAAATCTATGTTAGGAATTGATCATAAAAACGTTTAAGTGCATTGAGAATCGCACATGAGATGCAAGTTTATTAACTAGTTACACAAGTAATTTTAATGAATTCATCGGGGCACGTGAGTTTAAAGATAGTATCATTAATGAACCGAGGAATTTTTTATTGATAATATCAATTACAGTTTTATTTTTTTTTTCGTTTAATCTTATGCCAAATCACTCTTTATAATTTGTATTTGTATTTTATTAACCTGTTATTCATATTCCTGTGTAATTTCCTTTTTTTAATTTCTACTAAATAGTATTTTTTATTGATTCAAAATTAATTTGAAATTTTTTTTATGCAGGATCGGCTAGCCGGACATGGTGCAGTCACGTCGATCGGCGGAGGCGGTGGTGGTGGTAGCGGAGGAGGAAACGGAGGGGGTGGTGGTGGAAGCGGTGGAGGGTCGTCACCGTTCAGCCCTCACCATCATCACCACCATCACCATCACCGGAACACGACGCCCACCAACACTGGATCCAACATGGGACATCATCAGGATTTCCAACCACCGTACTTTCCACCACCGTTCCCACCATCACATCACCACCATCAGCCGTCCACTGGTAACGCGACATCACCATCAGCAATGGACTACATTAACGACCCGTACTCCCAAACGCTCAACAGTCTTCACCAGAGCGCCCAGGCAGCCGCGGCCGCACATCATTACAACCAGCTGACCGTAGCTGCTGTGTCTGTCGGTCAACGGCATGATGCCCTGAGGCGGTCCGATTCCGATTCCATACACGTGGTAAGCTGCGTGAATCAGTATAACAATGTTTTTTTTTACCACAACAAATGGCAGTAATGATACGATAATTCATAAAAAATTAAATCACATAAAAAAAACTATTTTTTAATAGTAATATTATATGAACATTTATTTAAATTTAATTATCTAATTTAAATATTTTTTATTTTATTAAATGACTGAAGTTCAACACAAAATTGCTCATACATATTATGTAATGCCAAAATATTAATGATGTTTCTACTGATTGTATAGCAATAAGCATTAAGCATAAAGCAATCGCATTAAGTTTTATTTCAAATCAAGTAGATGCATACTGAAAATTCTCTAGTTCTGTGTTACTTATCACAACCACACGTCGTTATCACATTCCACGATAATAGCTAAATTCTCCGCTCAATCTGAGTAATATTGCGGTATTTTTGTTTTCATTTCTATTCGTTGTACATTCCATCTAAAGTGTTAGTTCAAGTTCCTTATGTGACAACTAATTGTTTAATTGTGTCTTCTAATCTTCTAGAGCATTCCAATGGAATAAATTCAGAGTAATAAATAATTTTTTTAAAAATTCTTTGAAAGTTGTGATGTGATAGGTGACGACGAATATTCAGTTATTTTCTGATAATGTGTAGACGTACATCATTTACTGTCTCAATATTCTTGTATCTTATCCGATCTTACAGTTTGGCTTTTATCGAACCCTTCAAAACTCGAGTATGTCCTTCGTGTAATGGTTTATGAAGTACCTGCGCATATAAATGTTTCAAGACATTTGGTTACAAGAGTTCTAGAGTTGTCACGAACTCGTTCAACGCGTGAAATTTGTATTCGCTTAAAGAGACATCCGAATTGATTCCGACCATTGCCATCACGATCAAAACTGTACACGATCTCGTCATCACTTTTATCGATTCTCTCACCGATCATAGATCAATGCACAGTATTGGTATTTCGATCGGTGCGGTTAGGTTATATTTCTTAATGACTTATCACAAGCGGAGGCCATGCTATTTGATATTCATTAATGAACAAATTTCTCTGATTCAATCAATCCAAAATCGGAGTTTAGGTGTTGCGAATACGTGCCTCAGAGTAAAAACATATTATGCGGGTCCGATAGTCATTCAGTAACACATCCTGTTATACTGACAATAGGCGTGATTACATAGGTTACACATGACCAGTCATACTTTGCATCAATTTTTTTTCAAGTTTTGTCTGATGCAGTCTAATAAAGTAACATACGAAAAGGGTGGTCCAAAAAGGAGATGGACGATATATGTGAAGTATTTTGCACCAAAGGGTGGACGCGACCGAGTTAATCTAGCCAATCTCGCTTGTTACAACAAATGTGATTCACAGGACTTCCCGTAGCGACACCATGTGATTTTTTTTATAATACAAAAGTGCGTCGAAAATCCATAGATATTTTTAATAAAATTTTGAAAAATATAAAAAATAAAACTTTTAGAATAGAATTTATATTAATGTTGGATAATTCTTAGAAATAAATTACCAGCTCAAGAAACAGCGATTTCTTTGTACCTAACACTCGACTACGCCTACTTAATGACACCGAATTAATATTATTTATGTATTTCATTCCTTTAACAATAATTATTACTTATTCGATCGTTATCCTTTTGTTATTTTTTATTTGTTTAATATTTGAAGTCGACCAAGCTAGCATGTCATCCCTGAGACCACGCCTTTCGGTGTATTATATATATATATATATATGTGAATTATTTATTATATTTTCGCGTATACAAATGGGTATGTGGAATCGTTGCAAGTGTGCTGCCAAACAGACGTCACTAATATGTTATGTCCACCGAAGAAACGTGACCCGACCGGCCCCCATGATCGAGACTTTGACCCATTAAGGAAAAATAAAATAACAAATACGACCAACGTTTTTATATTTTCCACTTTGTATCCGTCATCGCTTCCATACACAATCCCCTCCTTAGTAGAGGCCAGATTAACGAGAGTAAAAACACTAGGCGTTTTGTTTTATACGAATTACATTTATTACTGTTTTTTTTTTTTGAGTTTAACCTCATCTGGCGATTGCGATGCATGTCACACCAGAGAGTTTGCGGGGTCACGTCGAGCATGGCTTATAAGCATGTATTGTACAAGACAAATGTTTAATATCTATAATCCTAATACATTTAATCGTAATAGTAATGGTGTAAAGTTTATCACGAATGCCGCGGCTAAGGGTCAAATGTGTTCGTTGACGACGTTACCGGCCATTTTATGTGTTGCAATATTATTATTGTTGTTCCGTGTTCGCACGCAAAACTTGAGGTATTCGACAAGTCGGTATGTATCTTTCAAACATTCTACGCGTACCGGATAAATCAATAAACGCCACTGCAAGTGCCAAAGATACGTTGTCACTTCAAAATACCTTGAGGAATTATAAGATATTTGTGAAAACACTACGTCTACTCGAGTGTCTTGCGTAAACTCTAAAGTTTTGCACGAATAATTATTATCAATGTCGTCTCAGAAAGGTTCCAAATAACTTAACGTTTTACAAAATGTTTCCAGAAATTTACTGATAAAAGTCACATCCTAATGATATTCGAGAAACGGTATTTTTCAGATAATTTTCACCGCTGATAAAAAAACTTGTTTTGAGGAAAAACAGTTATCCAGTAAACTGGTAGGGTACTAGTGTGAGGCTCTTGTAAGAAACCGCGGCAGTAGCCATCGATACAGGAGTTAATTAAAATTGAGTTAGGCCGCGTAATATTGTTATGCGCAAACTGTAAGGTTATTTTTTAACGAGCGATATACGTATAATTAATACCTGATACCTTGACAGTGTTACGTTGCTACGGCGTTAATGGATCCGAGGAAATCGAATCGACCACTTTCATCGTGAAAAGTAGGCGTCACTCGACGTGTGGTCGCCACCGTCACTGTACTTATTCCTCTTTTTTACTCGGCCTCACCCAGGACACGGTCTTCAAATATTTAATTATCCCAAAATCAATATAAATTTCAAAAAAAAAAAAAACTATTTTTCTGTTTGTAATTGTAATTAAAGTCTTCATCTTTACTGCTGCAAATTTATTACACTAATATGTAATTCAAGAGAGAATTAAAAAGTTTATCGGGAAACACTCATGTATGAAAAAAACACCTTCATCAACAAATTTTCCAATAAGATCTTTTTCGGCATATAAAACGCGTTGTCAAGACTATTTTCTCACCTACTACATAGTTTCTTAATGAGAAACTCTTGTAACTTGTTTTAACGATGAAGCTTTCGACTGACGGCTTTATGCAAAAACAATATTGAAGAGAATAAGACAAATTCTGCTTTCCCGTCCGCTCTACTCGCACGTCGTTTGGACGCCAACCGAATTCCACTGTACCCAAAATTCCTAACGTTTTAATTATATTAAGTCTTAGGGGTAGCGGTTCCGGACGCTTAACGCATATAACATTGTCTTCTCTCCAACATTATGATATTATTATTATTATATCATCATCGTCGTCGTCACCACCGTTATTTTATTATAATTATTGTTATTACAATGCAAACATGGTACAGATTTGGAATGTTTTCAAAAATGAGAAATTCAATTTTTCCAGCGGATTTTAATCAAATTTTTGACCGACACACAGTGAAGAACGTTAATATTAACAAAATGGTTTAGTGTACACGTTTTCGATATTGCATTCCAGAAAATTAAATTTGATTTTTACACGCGAAATTTATTAATCTGAAACGAATAACGTTATTAAGTCGGTTGTTAAAATAATAAACTCTATTATTTTACGAAGAAACATATTATTCGCAGTGTCCAGCGCTTGTGTTATTAAAAAAATAAATACTTTCGTTGTTATATTAAAATATTTTGCAACTTTAAGTTTCTCTGACTTATTTCGGAATATTTGAAAATTACATTAAGTTTTAAGACCAAGTATTAAAGACTGAACATTACATTATTTTATTTATAGTTTATTAAAATATCTATAGGATTACTACTATTATTATTATTATTATTATTATTATTAAACACTCCAACAAAACACGTTTTAAAATACATTTAATCTGAACATTTTATGTATTTTGTAAATTTTATTTCTATAAAATCCTAGTCGTTTTTTTTCATTGCTTTTTTTTGTTTAGCTAATCGAGTTACATTCACTCGTCTCTTGATTCTCTGTGGCGTTCTGTCACGATAACATCGTAAAAATTGTGCATTTTTCTAACTGCCACACTTTATCGCTCAATAAATACCACCTTCGATTTTTTATTATTTTTATGACCTATTACAGATAAACAAAGATATCTTCGTTACACGATAATATATGAAATCGCAGCTGGACACTCGTCATTAGCCTATAAGACTTTAGTATAGTGCATAACATTTTGCTAAGTGCTCACAAATGACTTATGTTAAGTTAATATTTTTGTAGAAAATTTAATTATATGTTTGATTATTATCGAGATACATATGATTATTACATTAACAACCGAGTTAATAATGATTTGGTTGTTTTTCGGTCGTCATATTTTATATGTCAATGGAAATCCTTCAATCATTTATTGAGTATTTATTTTTACGAGGATGGCAAGAGCGCTACGGCAGCTGTCGGGGTGACAGTTCTTGTGTATGCCTTTGTGCGTTCCAGATCTGTTGGGTTATTGAACCGAGAGAACAAGTAAATAAATTATTATTGCCAAAAACTTTCTCGGGTATTGCATACACGTAGACAAGTGCGTCTACGTGTATACATTGCCATCACATATGATCGAATCGATTTTTGACGGCGGCAAGTTCCCTTCAGTTATTTATGCTTGGAATGTTGCTTTGGACGATTAAAAAGACTTGTACGCGTATATTTACCATCCTGCCCACGAGGACCAACGGTAGTGAACCGGCAAAAGCGGCTCAGGATTGATTTGGGCTTGGCTAAACGGGACCGGATCCATCGACTTCAACATACGCAACGTCTAATAACAATAATTATTACTATCGATACTCGTGCGCGCGTACAAACACCATAGGAATAAAAAAAAATTTATATATTATTGTGTGTGTATCGAATAGGGGATCCGGAATATCTAGGTTATGCGAACAACAGTGATCGCCTTCGTGTAACGACCGACGGCCGCACCGGAGTCGGGACCTCTCCCATATCTGGTTACAAGACCCGTAATTATAAGAGGCCTCGTATACGAAAAAAAAAAAATAAACGTGTATATGTGTATGTATTCGTAGTTATATATTACATGCGTGTTGTGTATAAGGCGAAATCAAATAAAATGACGTTTACCGCGTGCGCGAGAGACATAATTAATATATGCAAATGGCTTTGAAAAATTATTACCAGTTCTTGTTCTCTATGTGTGTGTTTCTTTGATCTCAACTGTACTAAAATAGAAAATGTACGATTTGTTCGACGGCGATAATAATGGCTCGTACAAATTTATTTGTATCGATACACGATCTCATTTTGTGCGCGTTTAAGTCTAGACATAGTTATTTAACGAGAAAAATAGATACACTATTTAGTCATTATTGCGATTTGTCATGAAACGGTTCGAAAAAAACTATTGAAAATCTACCAGTAGTTTTTGACGTTCATGCTATTTGTTTCAGGGCAACATGCATCCTACNTGTGTGTGTTTCTTTGATCTCAACTGTACTAAAATAGAAAATGTACGATTTGTTCGACGGCCATAATAATCGGCTTGTACAAATTTATTTGTATCGATACACGATCTCTTTTTCTGCGCGTTTAAGTCTAGACATAGTTATTTAACGAGCAAAATAGATACACTATTTAGTCATTATTGCGATTTGTCATGAAACGGTTCGAAAAAAACTATTGAAAATCTACCGGTAGTTTTTGACGTTCATGCTATTTGTTTCAGGGCAACATGCATCCTACCTTCCCGTACGAAAGCAGCAGGTCCCGTGGTGGTGATTACGGTTCCGGAGTTGGTGGAGTCCGTGGCCGAGGAGACGTTTTGGTACAGTCACACCCCGGCCTAGAGGATTCGCTGGTCCTACATAACGCTTTGTCCAGCGTGGTCGAAGAAGCTCAGGTTCGTACAATAAGATATCAATTGAAAATACACACGTACAATGTATACCAGTGGTTAGACTTGAGTTACATTGCTAAAAAAATGTAACCGGTACGTTTTAAATACTGCACGCCGTGCCTTGACACGCCTTAACGTCGTGCCATACCCTACGAAGGGGGTGAACTGCACGCGAAACTCCCATATCCGTTTAATTCTTCATTTTTAATTTCGTCATTTCGATACTTACCTTGACGGGTGTTTGTGATTAACGAGACGCAGTTACGTTGAATGGTAAACACCTCACACGTGTATCGACAACGACCATACAGAATTTGACATGCGACCACCACATTAATTAAGCAGCGAACGGACGGCAGAATAAAATAACGTACAGATTTATTTTTAAAAAATTTGAACTTTTTCTAGCAAATAATCTTTTCCCAGCACTAATATTTATTTATGTTGACCGTTTGTTCCCCGGTCAGCAATATAATGAACCCTGCAGAGGGTTGTTGCCAACTCGCTTTTTAATTTCGAATGGCCGACTGAGTAAGTGCAGTAACAATATAATGACATGTTGTTTGGTCAAAAAACGGTCAATCAACGTCACAAGTCGCCAAACGAAAGCGGGTTCTCTACAGCGGTCAAGATTTCCATTTATTAAAATATATAAACCTACATGAGTAGGCTATTACGTTGTTGTTGTTGTGGTTAAGATTAAAACGAACACGTACGGCGATATCAATTAAACGCAACGAAATTATCTGCGTTTTCGTAATAACTCTTCTATCGGACACACCTCCCGCCCTAGTCGCTTGTTTGTGTATACATAAACACTGCAAGGACACCACTGCGCGAACGGCTCCCGTTTTTTATGATATTATAAAGTTTGTGCTCCGTTTTTAATCGAATGCCCTCAAAAAACTCGTTAAGAAATCTAGTTCTAATAAATAATATAATGATAAAATATATAGAATATAAACTCAAACGGTTGTGTGGGTCGCCGTTTAATGTCTTCCAAATAATAATAATTATTATCGTTGGTATTAATATTGTAACGTGTAGTTAATCGCATTTAAGTACCGTAACCGATTTAAACTCACGATCACTCCAGTAGCTGCTACAGTAAGATACAATTTAGTAATAAAATAGTTTTTAATAATATTATTTTTCTTTCTCAATAGGAACACAACGTGGACGATAGCAGTTCGTTTATGAGCGACTTGCCGTTATTGAAACGTAAGTATGGATACTTTTATATAATTCTTATGATAATATTTTTCACGTTACTCTAATACCTGTATAGTGTAATAATATTTTTATGATGTATCGTTAAAATATTTGCAAGTGTTGCATGTTGAGCAATCGGCGACTATTTTACACGTTATTCGATTTTATTAATCGTATTTGCATCACAATTTAATTACCCCAAAGATACTTAGTTATCCTTCACAAAATACCGATCACGTTTCGTCACAAACGCCTACTCAATAAGTTCACTTTATTGCTCCGAAAGGTCAATATTTGTGTTGCCCGTTAAATTTGAAACGTGCCAAAATTTATTTATTTTTTGGTTTTCAATGTTTTGTTTGTGCAGAAACTGAACTATTTTTAGTCTGCCAATACTTTTTGGCGGTTTTCTCCGTTCTAAATAATGAAAAGGTTGTATAAACATTGCTTTTAGATAGCCCCAAAAATATGTCCGTGTAACGATAAATGATACAAATCTTCTCTTAGTGTCACAGGGTAAATGCTGTCCGATTGCCCTTTCATGGTAAAATGTCGTCGATTGGCCAATCACCGTGGCCAATAATATAAAGTTCGACAACCCGCTGACAGTGCACATATTCGATTTTTTTACTATTAGAAGGGTCCTCCGTTGAAAAGGGCGCCCGAGGCCAAAGTGTTGGTTCCCAGGTGCAATCTCAAAAAACGCTATTCGCCAGAGACTCCCTTTGTAATTTTCGAACTTGACAAACCCATTCGGCATAATTATTTCATTAAACGCGATTAAATGCAATCAAATATATTAGGTGCATTCCGCTCGAACAGCTTTTCGACGACCGGCATTTTTTCGCCGTTTATCCCTCCGGCGATGTGTTAGAACCGCGAAAATTGCATACACACATACGAAAACACATGGGCTGGTAAGAGGTCCCTGTGATTTTAACGATATTCGCTGGCGTTTATAATTCAATACGGAGGCAGGGGGCGCGACGTCGTGGAAAAAATATGTATATACGACTCTGAGCGTGTTGACGCAGACGGCGACGAGAGAATATTATTATTACACGATTATTATGGGCAAATGGAAAAAGGGGTGTCGAACGTGATTCCGTGACGGTTGCGCGACCGCCGTCAAGTCGCAATGATGAATTTTTTTCCTCCCTATGCCCTCTCCTAATGAACCATCCGAAAGCTCCGTACGAGGTACCGCAGACCGTACGATAATCACGTTTGCCGAACACCGGCACCATGTTACACAAGTATTAATAATAATAATAACAATATTATGAATAGCAGTACACACGTCCAACGGAAATGCAAAACTCCGCCGCTCGTTATTATCAAACTTCCCCAAACGTAACCTATAATTTTGGCGAACGACAATAATTGCGCGTACAACGTCTTGCTCGGGGATTTACATTTTGTTTTTTTTTTTTAACACCTAACTTCCGCTTCCCACCGCGATTTTTCACACCTCTATTGTGCACAAGTCGTCGTGTTTTTGGGGCGTCTACCGGGTACGTCCCAGAAAAACACTGCACAGGGGCCCTTCATATACGGGCACCGGTCTCCAGCCATCACACCGGCTAATTTTGGGTGTGCGAATGCTTGACGGGGGGGCGTACGGGCCCTAGTGCAAACATCTGTTGTGTTACCGAGAAAGCATTTTTCATTTTGCTTTTTTCCATTGTTGCATATTTTGTTAAATATTTTTTTATCGAATCAATACTTAAACGGACGCTCACTAACGAGGGAATCGAATTACGCAAACTAGCCAAAATTATGTCGTATTCACAGTGATTTTTTACTGCCGAGATTTATGCGTGAAAGATGACGTTACCATTGGGAAAATCATATTTATATATTAATATCAACATCATCGTGATGGTTATTTATTTAAATTAAAGTTTAATTTTTACGATTTCAGGTATGTCCACCACCCCTTCAGACGTGTTCTGCAGTGTTCCCGGCCGACTATCGTTGCTCAGCTCTACTTCCAAGTACAAAGTGACTGTCGGCGAAGTACAGCGCAGACTGTCGCCACCCGAATGTCTAAACGCCTCTCTGTTGGGCGGCGTGCTCAGAAGGTAAGAACTGTACTTGAGATAGGCAATTTTTTTTATGTATCGATACTCTTGTGCGTGGCGTTGGGATGGTTTTTGTTTTCTCCGCGTAAAATATTTATATTATTGCTCACACGAAAAAACGTGACCAACCGGTAATCGCATGCTGCAGCGGATCACAAGAAGATAACGCGTCGGGAAAAGACTAAAAAGTGAAAACGACTGCGTTATTTCCCTGAAATCGGTTACACGCTCCTTGACCGCTCCGCTGATAGTGATGTCGTGTGCCTGCTCGGTACGCCTTCCTACCGGTTAAACGTCTTGACTGCATTCGCTCGCTCCGGTGCCGTTGGGATTACAATAAAAAAATACATTTATTAAACTCTCAGATCGATTCGAATAACATTTTACGAGCGCGTCGACTACACTGCAAACGATAAATTCTAGGCGTTCCTCTATAACATACGAAGAACATTTTTATCACGTCGAAACAACTCTAAAAAACGCGGCGTTCCCATTTTTTTATTTTTATTTTCTTCGTATTAACGACCAGAGTATTATTAATTTTAAATATTCGAGTCATTTGTCCTTATTAATCGCAATAATAAATTCATTGGCCGCTTTATGACGGGCTCTAAAATGATAATTCCAGTGCAAAGGCGGAGAAGGTTTCTACGGTCGAAAACGCCTGTTGACACGATATCGCAGGACACTTAATGGTACTTTCCAAAGTCCTCGTCGTTTAATTATTGTCCTTTGACCGTCCGGCGGGCCGTGTCCACAACAATAATATATCGAAACGACTGCGATACAGAAAATCGGTCGAAGCCGCCGGTTCGTCTGCGTTGGATACAATGCGTAATCACTAATCGTGTACAACTGCTTATATCGGTCGCCGCGCAGTGATAAATGATGTGTGCCACCTGTGGATTTTGCGTGTAAAGATACCGCCTACAATAATAATACCGCTGATAATAATAATAATGGCATTATTATTATCAGGTATATTGTAGATGATAGGAGGGCCGTGGCGGACACCGTTGGAACGATACTATCGCCGTAACGGTCACGCGTCATATTACTGTGCGTATCGCGAGACATGTCGTGCCAATAGGTTCGGTAAAAAACCGTAAGAAATTACAAGTCCTGTGCGGTTCACGTCTATAAAAAAAAAATGTATTCGTTTTGAGACGACCGGTGGGAGAGAAAACGTTTGTATTTCGTTTAATGAATCGAATAGGCTGTCCGCTTCGATGTCGTTAAATGTAAAACGCGTTTTGGTTTGCATAGTATTTTGTAAACGATACTCAATACAAACGCATACCGGCGTAATTGTGGACTCGACTGGTTTTTTATTTTCTTCGTGGTTTCGTATTTTTTATCAATGACACGAACGAGTGTTACGCCACATAAAATATAATTTGTTACAACGTGTTCTCTTGCTGGGTTTTAATCGAAAAGCTCTGTACGCATTCAAAAAACGGTAAACCATGTTAGTTTTTAACTGAATTTATGTGATTCACAGGGCGAAATCCAAAAACGGCGGTCGACTGTTACGTGAAAAACTAGAGAAGATCGGCCTAAACTTGCCGGCGGGCCGCAGAAAGGCTGCTAACGTGACGTTACTGACATCCCTCGTCGAAGGTAAGTCGATTTCAGTGAAACTCGCTAGTGTTTCCCATGCCCGTTCGAGTACGGGGTTCAGTTCCTATAGAGGTGTAACGTACCGTTATACGGGATTTAATAAGCCAACTGTCTTATCTGGTCGCCGTCGTTTGGGTGACCGACGATGACCCACATCGATACGGACCGTTGCGTCGGAGTCTGTGGATAAATCTACGGCCGGCTGACGTCATCGACGCTCAGATAACGATGCGGAAACAATGAGTTGGTCGCACAGATAGACGGCATGATTATCGTTGTGTTATTTTGCGTTGCCATAATAATATTATCTGCGCGCCGATCGAGATTCTAATGGCAGTCACAATGTTATAAATTATAATCTCGCGTACTAAATTCCACGGTCTCCTCGAAAATCGCACCAGACGCCATTCTACTGCACTCTGTCGTGTTGGTCAATTCCGCAACGACTTCCGCCGCGAAACGTGCGCGTTCTCCTCCTCCTAGTCGTTGCTGTGCCAAAATTTCTGGAGTTCGTTTCGCTGGCAGCACGTCTGACGTTATGAAGCAATTATTTCGTAGTGTTTCACATACAGAGACCCGCAACTGTTTTTTAACCGGAACTAACAAATAAAAATTTGTGAAAATAAAATAAAACTGTTGGACATTTCGACATCATCAGAGATAACTGTGTGGGTTTTCGACGCCCGTATTTTAAGGAAATCCGTTGACATTCTTTCGAAAAATGTCATCTTCGGCAATATTCACGATCAACTATTTTGAATGTCTTTAAGACTGAGTCTAATGATTATAGGCGATTATGAATCGCTCGATACTATCCGAGCTCGTGTGTTGTTTTTTTAACTCACGAAGAACGCGGATAGCAGAATTCGCAACGAGGGGAAGAAGTAGCTGCCATAGGAGACAACACAATCGGCGGTGTATCGCGGATACCGTCGGTGCCTAGAGGTGTTAACGTTTTTTCACTGTTTGACTTTGCGTTTTATAACTGTGCGGACATATATTATTCAAGACTGGTACGGGTGCCGGTGTTTAGCAGTGCACGAGATAACAGGTGTCGCGACCACTGCAAAATCGTTTGATTTACTGCACTCGGTCGACAGACCGCAACAACAACAATGACCTCTAGTAGTAGTAGTAGTAGTAGTGTGGTAGTATAAAAAATAAATGAAAACACAACGATGCGGCGCATTTGTGGAAATACAGAAAGATTTTAACGATTTATTAACAACAAATTCTTCCATATCATACACGTTTTCTGTGTGCAACCTAGTGACATTAGTCATAACGAACTATGTGATGAATATTATTTTTTTAATTCAACCTAAATAGTTGTCTATTTACGCTAATCGTATTCGTCCAACTTTTGAACCGCGTGTCGTGTAACTTGATATATGTGATGTTGTTAATTTCATTGGTGTCCGACATGAATTCCATTTGATTTCCCTGTCAACGGGTACATCACGTTCA